CAGAGGGACCTGGACAGGCTGGATCCATGGGCCGAGGCCAACTGTATGAGATTCAACAAGGCCAAGTGCCGGGTCCTGCACTTTGGCCACAACAACCCCATGCAGCGCTACAGGCTTGGGGAAGAGTGGCTGGAAAGCTGCCTGGCGGAAAAGGACCTGGGGGTGCTGGTCGACAGCCGGCTGAACATGAGCCGGCAGTGTGCCCAGGCGGCCAAGAAGGCCAACGGCATCCTGGCCTGTATCAGAAATAGTGTGGCCAGCAGGAGCAGGGAAGTGATCGTGCCCCTGTACTCGGCACTGGTGAGGCCGCACCTCGAATACTGTGTTCAGTTTTGGGCCCCTCACTACAAGAAGGACATTGAGGTGTTAGAGCGTGTCCAGAGAAGGGCAACGAGGCTGGTGAGGGGTCTGGAGAACAAGTCTTCTGAGGAGCGGCTGAGGGAACTGGGGTTGTTTAGCCTGGAGAAAAGGAGGCTGAGGGGAGACCTCATTGCTCTCTACAACTACCTGAAAGGAGGCTGTAGCGAGGTGGGTGTCGGTCTCTTCTCCCAAGTAACTGGCAAAAGGACGAGAGGAAATGGCCTCAAGTTGCACCAGGGGAGGTTTAGATTGGACGTGAGGAAAAATGTCTTTACTGAAAGAGTGGTTAAACATTGGAACAGGCTGCCCAGGGCAGTGGTTGAGTCACCATCCCTGGAAGTATTTAAAAGACGGGTAGATGAGGTGCTTAGGGACATGGTTTAGTGGGCATGGTGGTGTTGGGTTGACGGTTGGACTCGATGATCTTGGAGGTCTCTTCCAACTTTAATGATTCTATGATTCTACAGACCAAACAGTATTTGGATTCACCACTGCCAGTAAGACAAAACAAGAATTAAAAGAATTAAGGAATAATGAATTAAAAATACAACAGGAATGCAAAAGTTGGAAACATCTCCCAAAAGAGTCAATGGCAATGTTTTAATTGGTCGCTTTCTAAAAAAAACCAAGAAAGGCTTCTGCGTCACTGGAATAAATATAATAGAATTCTTTGCATGCTTAGGTCTTTCCTAGCTTATTCGAACGGCGTATTTAACTTTTGATTTATAAACCAAGGGATATTGCTCACTGACATAAGATGCATTCCACTGGGGCTCAAAGCCTTTAGCAGATCCACACTGTGCGTACTTTCTCCTGATGGTTTCACATTCATGTTCATCAACACTCAGGAAGAACCATAAACAAAGCCCTTCTCTTGGATGTGCACATGCAGTTCCCATTGACTTCGCTGGATTTTCAGCTAACTTCAATAAGAACTCAGTGTGCATGCAGAAGGGGAAAAATTGGCTCTGCACATTTAATAAAATTACATCACTAGATACCTTATAAATGAAGGGCAATGCAGGCCATACTGAAAAATAAGATAAACTGCGTCTGGAAAGCTGCCCAGTGGAAAAGGACCTGGGGGTGTTGGTCAACAGCCGGCTGAATATGAGCCAGCAGTGTGCCCAGGCGGCCAAGAAGGCCAACGGCATCCTGGCCTGTTTCAGAAATAGTGTGGCCAGCAGGAGGAGGGAAGTGATCGTGCCCCTGTACTCGGCACTGGTGAGGCCGCACCTCAAATACTGTGTTCAGTTTTGGGCCCCTCACTACAAGACAGCCATTGAGGTGCTGGAGCATGTCCAAAGGGCAATGAAGCTGGTGAAGGGTCTAGAGCACAAATCTTATGAGGAGCGGCTGAGGGAACTGGGGTTGTTTAGCCTGGAGAAAAGGAGGCTCAGGGGAGACCTCATCGCTCTCTACAACCACCTACAAGAGGAAATGGCCTCAAGTTGCAACAGGGGAGGTTTAGATTGGATATTAGGAAAAATTTATTCACCGAAAGGGTTGTCAAGCATTGGAACAGGCTTCCCAGGGAAGTGGTTGGGTCACCATCCCTGGAGGTATTTAAAAGACGGGTAGATGTGGTGCTTAGGGACATGGTTTAGTGGTGGACTTGGCAGTGCTAGGTTAACGGTTGGACTTGATGATCTTAAAGGTCTTTTCCAACCTAAATGATTGTGATTCTATGAAAACCCGAAAGTGTAACCAAATAAGTTCAAATTTCAGCCAGGTTTTCCCAGAATAATAAAAGGGCACACATTTTAGGCAAGATGAAACAAAACCTTTGCAATATCTCATTTACAAAGCGTGCTCTACCTCCTTTAGCAGGACAAAGTGTGAAACCTAGCTATGTACATAAGGCAATGATCTTTTTGTCTCAGATATAGCAATGATATTGGCATATGAAACAATTATGTAAAGGTCAAGTTACAAGCTGTGATTTGCTAAGTCATTTTCTGCATCTATATCCCTGCTCTGTAAGTTATGAAGCCCATTGCAAGTGAATTTAAAGTGTAGCAGAACACCACAGTAGAGAAAGTAATTAATCATATGATATTAATAACTAATAATGTATTATTTTGAATCTATTCTAATAGTGGTATTTTAAAGATATCAAAGGCTTGAATCCAGGAGTACCTATCTTAAAGCCTTCAACCCTCTTTCCCACCTGGCCAAAAGAACACCATAACAAAAATCCCACCCAACCTAGGAACAACAATCCCCTTCCAAATTTCAGATGACATCTAGCAACACACAACTTCTACCAGGTACATTAGCTAACGCACACTAAGCAAAGCAATGCCACATGCGTTTTCTCAAAATTTCTTCCTTTTATTTTACTTTTACTCATTCCATGATGTAATAACCTGTGCCTTTTTACTGCCTCTTTAAAAATATCTACTTATTAGGATGAAGAATATTCTGACTTCTAAAAATCCAACTACCAGCAGGCTTTCTTGCACTTTCTGTTTGGCTGACGAGCGCTCATTAGCCTGCAATTACAAATTTATACAAAGAAGTACTCAGGGATGGAAATCACAGAGAGGGCTTGATGTTCGTATGTTTGGTTTTTCCCCTCTAAGCAGGAACATCTCTGATGATTTTCACACTTAAATAGCAGAACAGATCTTATGAATCATTTTTTCTTCCTGGTTGGAACAACCCCTATTCCCTGTTGCATTATAATACTGAGTCGCTTTACATAAAGTTGATCATTACTGCCAAGTCAACGGAGAGAGGAGGGAAGTGGACGAAATGCTCTGAACGTACGTGTGCAATAGGATACATATCAGGCTGCTTCTTGAAGCAAATTATTTAAAATCAGGAAAAAAAAAATCATTACAAGACAACTCATGTAAGGGAAAACTATTTCACAGATATTGAAAAAGTCCAGTAAATCTAATGTAATACTGATGATCAAAGGGATTGTGAAGACTTTTTTTTTTTTTTTTTTTTTTTAAATGAAGCGAGGCTCCGGCCTGTTACAAGTGCTGAGTCGTACTGGTCATTCACGCTAGATTATCCAGTAAGTTAAATAATTAGTGTGGTGGAATCTGTTTCTCCCGAACTATGGCACTGTCAAATGAATAGTTACGAGGTCTGGTGGAACCCTGCTGTCTCAACATCACCTCCCCTCCTAACATCACGTCCTGACACTGGCAGCCTGTGAAGACACTTGTCTGTCTCAGAACTCCTTCGTGTAACTCAGTGACTCCAGGTCTACTTTCTGTTGGCTCTGGTGGAGCACGAGCTTAGTGAATTTACAGGGTGCTACAAGGAACATCTATTTCAGATTAGCCTTTGCAATTCTGGGTTCACAACAGGGAAAGGAAGGGTTCCCCCTCTCTCCCCTCAGCCCTAGAGGAATAGGGCTGGTGCAAGGAGGGAGCTTCAACAACTTTGATTTATTAGTTTGTTTTAAATGCATAGCATGACTACTAGGTGAGTGAAATAAAATTAGGTACCTTAATGATAATTTTTCAAGAAAGCTGATTTTAAAGTGTTAAAAAAAAACCAAACAAACCCACAACAGAAAACATCAGCCAAAAACTGCTTTTCTGCATGTCCTGTTTAAGCAATGACACATGAAGAACTTTATGTTCGAACAATTACCTGGTACTTTAAATAGGACACTAAGGGAATAACATATTAAAATGTATTCAGACAGCATGAGACTAATCCTTCTCCTGGGAATACCGGTGCAAATCAGAGTAACTCCTCAGAGGTCAATTGAAGTACACCAGCATAAAACAAACGTGAGGCAGAGGGGAATCAGGCCCCATCTACCTCTATTTTAATGCAGAGGTTGCAGATCATCTGCAATGATAAAGTGAACAACATAAATATAACTGACATCTATTCAACTGATCTCACATCCTGCCGACTATTCACAGCTCCAAATATAGGGCTGAAGAACAATGGTTCGAGGAAAGGAGGCAGAAATCCTGGTTCTACCCCATTCACACATTCTTATCTGCTAATACCTCCAACTTCAACTGCCTTCATCTCCCCACACTGCTAAATCATTGTACGTTTAATTTGACATTGTCCCCCTGCTCCTGAAGAACAACTTCTCTTTACAACAAAATAATAAAAAAATATATATACCAGGCTGCACGGGAGAGAAAATAAATGCAAAAATCTGTGCAAGCATGAGAACCTACAGACAAATAAGCAAGAAAATCCCTATCTAACATACCATATATATATAAATGGCACTAGAAAATTGATTCATTATTTGGAAATCTGGCACTGAGAAAGAATGGTATGTGCACAGGGGAGGAAGACTAAAATGTGAGGCTATTGCAAATTATGGTGCTATTTGTGCTAATTTAAATGGATCTGTAATTATTTCCTACAACTTCATGATGTCCTGAACCAGCTTCCTCCTCCCCTGCTAGGCTGATAAAAGGATCCTTAGCAACACACTAAATATATTATGCAATGTACTGAATACTACCGAGAAAAAGCACTGAATTACACTGAAACAAAGAACATCAGGTGCGAACATCACCACCTCCAGGGAAAGATCACCTTTAACTATTTATCACGTCAGTAAGCGCAGGCATTCTTTTACATCTCTGTTACCAGCACCTAACGGTATTTGCTACATTTAACAAAGTTAAGGCAAATTTTACCTCAAATCTACTTAGGCTCGAGCTCTTTGACCGAGATTTCTTGCGGAGATAGACAGAGAAGAACCGACGCACTGTGAACTTCTTCATGTTCATGTCCATTGCCCCGTCCCAGCTGCGGCACGGAGCACGAAGGAGCTGCGGCGCCGCCGGAGAAAGCTAGCGCATCCCGATTGCCCCCTGTTTATATCCACAGGCAGGAGATCCTCCGAGGTGTCTGCTTCGGTTCATCAAGCCGGACACTGCTAGACCTGGAAGAGGCGCGTGGCCGGAGCTATAGGAGCCTGCTGCTTGCAGTTCGGAGCATAAAGGCGTTATACTCCCTCTCGCTTTCCAGTGTTTACATTTCGGTGCGGCGAGCCGAACTCTCTCTCCGCTCCCTCTCCCCCTCGCCTTAGGTCCTACTACATCCAATCAGGCTCTGCTTTGGCTGCATGCATAATCAGCTCCGGCAGATGACAGCTCCTGCGTCCCAGGCGTAGCAGGTTTGAGATAAATATTAGATGTGTCTATTGCTTTGCACTCCCTCTCCTCTCAGTCAGGCTCTTTCAATTTCCTGGTTTCCTAATCACATGGGGAATAGGCACATGCTGCACTTCTGTTTTTAGCTCGGAATTTCAACGCTGCTATAATTACTGAGGGCTATGGTGGTCAGATCCGAGAAGAAATCGGCTCCCGCAGGAGAGTCTCTCCTGGGAGAAGGCTGAAAGACGCCATGGCCCCACTGCCAGAGCAGAAGGGTCTGAACCTCCTTTTATTCCGGGGGGTTTGCAAAATAACATTGCTGCACCCGCCCCCCCGCCCCAGTCAAAAAGCTTAAGATCCTGTTCACAGATTACCCGCCCGCTTTACATTAAAATACCTAAAGCTGGCACAGCTCTGAAAATAGGAAGCACAATCTAAATGGTAAATATTACTATTCTTACTGTACTACAGCAGGGAGCTACAGCCCTTTTAAGAGGTTAAATATGTACATCTATTTACAGGCTGTGATTTTGCGCTGCTCACTATACTGCAAGCATGCAGACTTACAGCTGCACCCCACATCCCCAACATAATCACATTTTTCAGCTTTTCTTCAAAAACTAATGAATCTCAGTGCAATCCAGAGACCGAAGGGCTTTCTCTGCCTGCCGCACACAACTCGGGCTCCTTGTCCTTGGCAGCCTTTCCTTTCTGACTACCAAGGAGCACCCAGACATGCCTTTCTCCCATAACCTCATATGGAAAGTGAATGACTCTGATGACTTATTAATGACTCAGATAAATAAGCCCAGAGAGAGCTGACACTGCTACAGCCTAAGACGACTCTCGGAGGTTAAATGACAATACTATTTCAGTCAATCTGCTCTAAAAGAGAGAGGCTCATTTTGCTTTAATTGCATGTCTGGACTCTGCCATGAACTATGTTGGCTGGTCATGCCTGTCACTACCTGCTTTGTTCACAGGTTTTCTGTCCGTCTCTTCTGTCTAAAGCTCACCACAGTCTATATGTACCTGGAAAAGAAGAAAAAAAAAAGAAAAAAAAAGAATATTTTGGCATTTACGGTTTCAGTAAGAAGGAGGTCAGATTGGAGTGGCTACCTTCAGTGTTGGGCTCTATAATCTCCTACAGCCTCTGGCTCTTCTGTGCCTGGACCACTGCTGTCTGCCCCAGCCTAAGATAAATGTAACAAAATGGCAATCTGCTTTATCCCTTTCTCTTCTCAGCGCCTCCTTCTGATCGCTTCTCTAATTCTCTTTGTTTGCAACAAAAGTGTATCTTCTGGGGTTGCTTTCAAGGTGCTGCCCCAGTGTAAGCTGTGGCAAGCCTAAGAGCCTTTTGCCACTACAGCTGTGTTGGTTCCTGGCAAAAGATCCTCGAGTGGAGGCAACTGTCCCAGCAAAAACTGAGCTATCTATAGGTACACCAAAACCCTTTCCACAAGCAAAACAATAAACAGGTAAAAAAGCAGTTTGGTTGGTATAACTGTCAAACTGCTTCTTCCTGTGCCCTGCCCTCTTGTCTGGCAAAGAGATGTCCTGACACAAGTTAGGCTAGGCTTCATGCTGACAAAGGCTTTTGGCAGCCACACACATTCTTACCTTTGTAAGCCACTTGAGCTTTGAATAGCAATCAGACAAGATCAGGGTACCTCCCTGAACCCTTCCCATCACAGATACAACAAAGTCCCACCTGGACACTGACATCTTTATTTATGCAGAGGAGATGATAATTTCCCAGCTTTGAATACACAGGGTACTGTGTAATAAGCGGTATATAACAGGCTGTTATTACTTACACTAGTAGATTTGTCACAGCCTTCCCATTATGCACGTAGTACTTCAACATACAAGCACACGCAGTCACCATTAAATGTACCTGCTCTGTAATAAACTTCCAAGAGGATTACATGGGCTATGACTTAATACCTAACTATCACGTACACTTACTACATTCACAATTTTGTTCTTTACCACAAAAGGAAAAAAAAAAACCAAACAGTTACAATGTATCAGCAATTTATTGTGAACACCGGAGCAAAAGCTAGCCTTTGATGCTAAAGGTTAGACTGTAACACAAACAGCATGCCCAGGCTAGGAGGTAAATCTCTTCTTACATCCCTGCCAAGACACAGACATGGAAATAGGCATGATCTCCCTGCTTTCTTACTCCCCTTTCAACCACATGGATCAAATACAGAAGGACAACCAACCACCAGCGCCAGGACATTGCTCTTCAACTATTGGGCAGCAGAGCAATAGAGATATTGCAGAGTGTATCTCCTAACTGTAAAAAGCAAAAGCAACCGAGTTGCAAATTGTACATAAAAAAGAGTACAGATACAGAAATAAAACAAAATACATAAGCATGTAAAACTAAAGCATAGGGACAGATACCTGAAGAGCAAATTCTACTACGGTTGCATTCACATAGTATGCTTCAAGACATGGAACCTAACTTTGCTTCAGAAAAACAAAGGAGAAGAGGCTTCAAAAACATTAACTCAAACTTTCAGCTAGTCAGACAGTATCCACTTTTCCCAATGACTCTAATAAAAAGGTGCAAGCAAAAAAATAAATCAGATTAAATTGGAACATTCATTGCTATGTTTATAAACATACAACTGTCAGATCAACCTACAACGTGAAAAATTCATTACACTTAGAAATTCATGGCTGTAAATTATTTATTAGCTTGCCTCTGAGCAATTTTAACTGCTGAGGAACTTGATGGAAAAAGAAATCCACCAAATGTCTTTATTTAAGACAAGAATAAACAACAAAACTGGTGGAGGGGGCACATGACGTATTGGCATCAACCAGTAACACTTTGTATTCCGAATTATACTTTTTAGAACTAAAGTAATATTTGCTGTAACACAAAATAAATAAATAAAAGACCATGGCTGTTCCTGCTCCCAGTGAAGTTAATAGCAAAATAAAGTTTACTTCAACTGGAAAAGGGCTTAAAAACCCAAGCAAACAAAAAAAGCCCCAAACCAGGATTCAAGACAAACTCCCTAACAGAAACCACTTGAAATTAGATATCACACAGCCCACGTTCCAATTTTTAAAAGATAAATGGAAAATTCCCAATTAATATCCAAAGAAAGCCAAAGGTCCCTTCCTCACAGATGGACCATACCAAGAGTAGTAACAGACTGAAGGACCCAGACTTAGGAAGTTCACACGGGGCAGCGAAGCAGCCTGCACGGAACCCAAGTGAGAAGGATGCCAGTGGCCAATGCCGGATGAATCATCAATTTCTAAAGAAACAAAATAACTTGAGCTAATTGTTTGCATGAAAGAATGCACAAGTCCAAGACATCTACCACAAACCACGGGCTGGACGATAAAATTACTGAGAGAAAAGCTGTATTACTGTATTACACAGCATGCCAGGCCCTATTTCCAAAATGGACCTTCTAACTTTTATATGTGAATCAACAATTTATGAGCAAAACCAGAATGACTCTGCTACTTGAGCAAATTTAGAGACCACTGTGAAAGTAAAAACATACGAGTTGATACTATCCTTCCTTGCAAATGCAATTGGTATTACCTATCCTTCCTCAATAAGTTCATCAGAAAAACAGAAAAAAACCCAGAGAAGTAAGAAAGCATTCAAAGGCACAGACACCGTAGACAGAAGAAGCAAGATTAGCAGAACGTGGCATGCAGAGAAAGGGAAAATGAGACTCACACAACAGAGGCCCAAGAGACAATGCTACATAAAAGGTGGATTATACAGTACCATTTATGCTCTCATTAAAGAAAATCAGGAGCAAGAGCAGATGTTTCCAAGAGACACCAATGAGCAGAATAAGAAACAACACTTTCCCCCAGGTGATCAGATGGTACATGACTCTCAGTGATTGCTGTTTCCTGATCTTGAATGCCGGACAAATTTCCATATGGCTTTTGTTTCCTCAGTGAACAAGTAAAGTGGTTATTTTTGTTATTGATGTTTCTTTAAAAAAACATGATGGGCTTTGCTCAAAGAAATGCCTGGGCTTTGATCTCATTGGATCAGTGAACCAATGTGGGTCCCAGCCTTTCCAGCTGCCGTACCTAGTTAAATACCTTCCAGTTTAGCATGCCACTTACTTGACTGGAGTTTTCTCTCTCTCAAAAAAAGGATACGCTGCCTTGCCAGCACTGTGGAACACATACAGCAGCTTGCCATCTCCAACTTGCTTCTCACCAGCAGTGATAAGTGATCAGCGATGTTGGCTGGATGGGGATGTAAGGGAACAGGCAGGAAAGAAAGTGCTTATTCTCCCTTCTCTCACCTCCTCCTGCTCCTATCGGTGTGTATCACGAACTTCAGTGATTTTCAACCTTTTCTGTATATGAACTGTAAGAAGCTTCCAATGGAGGTGCAGGCACCTTCAGCCATTTTGCAAATCAAAATCACTGCTCAGAAGGAAGAAGAAAGCAAAATCATACATCTTGTCTAACTGTGTCTGATGAACTAGCAGATGCAGACTCCTCAGCCACAGTCTTCTCTGCTCCAAGGAGCAACATAACAGACCTACAGTACCTGTTTGATCTTGTACTTGCAGTCTCAAGGCCTTGGGAGTCTGGGCAAAGACAGAGGATCTCTTATACTCACATATCTTTAATTCCATAATTGCTAAAAACATTGTCCAACACATTGGCAATTATATGAAAAGTGACAAGTATATATACACAAGTGGAACAATCAAAGAGAACGACTCGGTTTGAAAAGACCAGTTTTGCTCAATATGGTGACATTCTGATTAGTGGGTTCCATTCAACAGCTTCAAATGTTCTTAAAACTGGGCATCCAAATAAGTTCTTGGTAGATTTGAAACTAATATTTTGCATCTAAGCAAGTAGCTTGGATGGAAAGCCTTCTGCACTCTTCTCTCTAACAGCCTACTCCAGCAGATGAGATTAAAAAA